AATAATAATAATAATAATAATTGTAGAAATTATTAAGCTTAGGAAACTTAAACCAGTATTTCCCAAAGAGTGATTTTCTTCTTCCTCTGCCAGATGCACTACACCTGTGATTTCTTTTTTGCAGAGCTCTCCTTTTCCTTGGAAAGTTTTCTGTGCTTATGTCTCTCCCTTTTCTTTACACACCTCTCTCCTCCCTGATCCACACAGTTTTTGTTTTGTTTTGTTTTTTTAAATAACAGCTTTGGGACTCCTGAGTGGCTCAGTAGGTTGAGTGTCCAACTCTTGATTTTGGCTCAGGTCATGATCTTGCATTTCATGGGTTCAGGCTCCACGTCAGGCTCATTTGACAGGTGCAGACCTTAGCTTGCTTAGGGATTCTCTCTCTTTCCACTCTCTCTCCCCTCTCCCCTGGGCTGTGTTCTCCCTGAGAGAGGAAGGAAGGAAGGAAGAAGGAAGGAAGGAAGGAAGGAAGGAAGGAAGGAAGGAAGGAAGGAAAGAAGGAAAGAAAGAAAGAAAGAAAGAAAGAAAGAATTAAATAAGTAAATAAACTTTAAAAAATAAATAACAGCTTTATTTATTGAGGTATAATCCACATACCATAAAATGTACTCTTTTAAAGTGTACAGTTCCATGTTTTTTCTAGAATATTCACAAAGTTGTGCAACCATTATTACTATCTAATTCCAAAATATATTCATCTTCCCCAAAAGACACCTCATGCCCATTAGCACTTACTCCTTGTTTTTTTTCCTGGAAATTGGTAATTTACTTTCTGTCCCAATAGATTTGCCTATTCTGGACATTTCATACATGGAATCAGACAATATCTGGCTTTTTATGTATGACTTCTCTCATGGACTGTAATTCATTTAGCATAATTCTTTGACTTAGCAGTTCTTCATTCCTTTTTATGGCTGAATCATGTTCTATTACCTGGCTATACCACATTTGTTCATGCATTCACTACTTGATGGGCATTTGGGTTGTTTCCCCTATTTGACTATTATGGTTAATACTTCTATAAATATTCATGTGCAAGTTTTTGTGTGTCCATATGTTTTCATATCTCTTGGGTATATACACAGGAATGGAATTTTGGGTTCTATGAAAACCCTGTTTAACTTTTTGAGGAAGTGTGGAACTCTTTTTCCAAAGCAGTGATGCCATTTTATGTTCCCGCCAAAAGTGTATGAAGGTTTTAATTCTCTATATTCTTGCCAACAGTTGTTATTGTCTTGCTTTTTATTTTATTTTTTTAATTGCCATTCTGTTGAGTGTGAAGCAATATCTCAGTGTGGCTTTGCTTTCACTAATGACTAATGATGTTGAATATGTTTTTAGCTAACTGACACTGATGATTATACCCTCCTTCTTAAAATCCTTCCTCACTCAGTTCTAACATTTACCCTCTCCTGATTTGTCTCTTTCCTCAGTGTATCCTTAACTTTAGTCCATTTTCTTTTTTTCCCAAACTTCAAATTTTTAAGTGTCCCAATTCTGAATTTTAAGCTCTGCCCACTATATTTTTTCCATAACACTTATCTTCACCTGAAATTAAATTGTATATTTATTTACTTGTTTATTGTCTGCATCACCCATTGGAATGTAGCTTCATGGGGGTGGGGACTTGTTAATTACTATATTCCTGGTTCCTAGAATGGCACCTGGTTATAAACATTTTTGCATGAATATCTATTAGAAAATGTAAATAGATATTCTATAAATAAGGACCTGAGATCTCCATTATTAAATAAGTTTCTTGGTTGCAATTGAACATATTTAATCAAGTGTATATAATGTGGTTCTTCTCAGATACCTTAATATGCTAATAAGCATTGTGAAATTTTACTTGACCATGGTAACTCTTTTGGTGTAGACCAGGTTATGGATTTTCTGAAGTATTCTTCTAACTCAAGTAGCTAAACTGCTTGAAACTCTAGCAAAATTTAAACTCTAGTGAAAAATAAATCCTGGCACAACTTTGGAGTGCTTTATCAATTAGAAGTTTTTCTGGCACTTCAAGAAGTAAGTTGTGATCACCAAGGCTCAATATGAACTCACCAAGGACAGGTTATGTCAAAATATCCCGATGTGTCTGTGTTGTCCACAGGGTTTTGTTTGTTTTTTTTATCAGAATGCCATTCTACCAGAAGGCCATGGCAATGGCATTTCTTCACAACAGTGAGGTTTTGAGCTGGCTTTATCATGATTTCCCTCTTCTGAGGAGTTGAGTGGGTTGTCAGGATCTTGAGATCAGTCTGTCACTTAAGAATTTATGTCAAGATATCAGGCTGGGTAGAGTGAGGTCTGTGCCCTTGGGAAGAATCACCTACATAGTGAGCTGTTTGTTGTCATCAGTGTCACAGTACATTCCAAGTGGTTACCGATGATCAAGCATGGCATTTCCAGGACTGGGTGATAACAGAACTTATGGAGTAGCCCTGAACACTAAATCTAGGCAAGGAAGGTAAAGAAAAGCAGTTATGGATGGACCTGGACCCAGGAGGCTCCCCTAAAAGAATAAGTTCATAGCCAGTCGTATTTCATTAGTGCATAACAACAGACATATCCCTAAGGATAAGGGATGACCAGAGTGCAGGAAGCCAGGGGAACATTTACTTATTGGTGTTCCATAATGCAATAGGGCAGACAAAGCAGTGAGTGACTGTGGTGCCTCTGGTCACATTTGGCAGGAAAGAGGTCAAGAAACGGATGGACAGTCTAATCAAGTGCTTCTCAGACAGTGGCCCTGAACCAGCAACACCGGTATCACCTGTGAGTTTGTTAGAAATGCACATTTGGGGCCCTGGTGTCTCACCAGGCCCAGGTGCATGCTCAGATTTGAGCACCTGCAGTCAAAGCAAGAGAGACAAGCTCCAGCAGCAGACGAACTAGAACGATGCCCCATTCAAGGAGCTTCTTAAATATCTTCCTTGCTAGCATGGGATCTGGTCCCTGAATGTGATCTCTACTTGGTCTGAAGGTTAAAAACAATGATAATGAAAATACATAAAAAAATAAATAAATAAAAGTAATACTGCTGTAGTGACATGTGTTGAGTACTAATTATGTCCTAAGCAGCATGCTGAGCACAGGCTTAGCTTTGATCCCTCTTAATAACTAAGTGAGGTAGAGACTGTTGCACTCTCTGCTGCAGCTGAGGACACAGAGATATAGGCCCTTTTGAGGCAGGGGCTGCAGCTAGTAAGTGGTGGGTCCAGGGTTTGCATTGGGTAGTTTGCACAACACTGGTCTGGTTATTACACATACAAGGTTGTGTAATACCTGGTTATTACACATACAAGGGAGATGTTGCGTGGGTGGTTGGATGGAGTGATGGATAGAAGAAATGAAGATAAGGGAGCAGGGAAGAAAGGAAGGAAGGAGAACAAGAAGAAAGAAAGGAAAGGGGAAAGAAAGAAAGGTGGAAAGGAGAGCTGCAGGTATGGGAAGCAAGGTTTGAGTGAAGCCTCCTTCTAAGATTGGCTATTCCCTTACATTGTAGCACTTTTCTGGTCTCACTTTGAAGTCAGCCAGCCTGTGTCCTTCAGCACATTTCAGCCTGGGCACATCCTCCTTTGTTTTCTCCTAACACTGTTTCATGGGTAGTCTGCAATTTATTTTTCCTTATTTGTTGATTCTCCTTGTCTCCCTATGCTCACACAGTCTTTGTAACTTAAGTATACGCTCACCCCAGTTGCTGAGCAATCTGTGACTGCCTTCATTGTTGACTGGAGAATATTCTGGCAATAACATGTCCTTCTTTGGGGACGATGTGCTCTGGGGCTGACATGAAGCTTCTCTGTGTTCATTCACCTTGGACCACCTTTTTCCCTGCCTCTGCCTTAATAGCATATCATTTCCCCCCTCCTTTTGCAGCAAAGCCACAGAGACACTTAATCTCCCATTCTCCAGAGGCCCTTTGGAAGCTCAGAGCCTGAACTCCATAATCAAGAAGGGGTGGGCGTGATCAGGGACAAAGTTTGATTCTTTGTCAGCTTCTCTGCATTTAGGCTTTTCATTTTCACGTTCCTCCACACGGTTTGTAATAAACACAAGAACATAGCTCAAGGGCAGGAATGAGGTTTAACTTGAGCAGAGGTACAATAGAGGCTATTTGGAAAGTAAAACTTTCAAATGGCAGTTTAGCCTTGAAGAATATATTGAATTAGATATGCGGTGTGCCTTGATTCATGATCTCTGCATAATAGCATTGCTATGTATATTACCAGGGTGCTTTCATAGACTGGAGACACGGGCTGTTTAATAGATCAGCCTCACAGAATGAGCCAAAACACTCATGAAGAGCATGGGAGCAAGAGTCACAAGACCTGGATTCCTGAACTGACTCTGCCGCCTCCCATGGGGTCTTGACTTTCCTGGGAATAGCTTTCCTCATCTGCAAAGTGGGTGTCAGAGTAGAACTTGCCTCATGGGATTATTCAGAGCAGTAAAAGAGATAACCGCTAAGCACAGAGTGTTCTTACCATAGTATGTAAAACTTTAATAAGTAAGGACTATTTATATTACTTTCATACGATTTTTATTTAGAAACCTTGATTCTAAAACATGGTGCACACTCTTTAATACCTTCATTTATTTGCTTTTTACTTAACACAATTCTCTCTTAGCCAATTCTTATTTCTTGTCACTTTCATAGTAACTATGGTCACCTTTTAAACCACGCTGTCACTTGAAAGTCCTAGCTAAATACAACCAAGACTGACAACTATGAATAATTCCACATACACCATAAAACACTCTGGCATTTCACTCAAATTCTCATATATGCCGCCAAGTTGTTCTCTCTTGTTTTGTGCCTCTCTGTTCTCCACAGATTTCAGGTACAGTTACTGAAGGTGAACATCATCTCCCTCTGAAAAATAATCCAGCAGGAACCAATGTTGAGTAATTGGGCTTCATAGGAGCATCACTGTCAAGTCGAGAAATATACGAGGAGATAATCACATTTCATTTTTTTTTCTCTTGAACGTTTTTAGCATGTTCACGTCCACGTTCTTCCAAGGAAGGCTGGAGACTTTCACAGGAATGACAGCGTCTATGATGAGGTGGGTCTGTTTTCTCTGATCTTACTATTTGATCACAGAGGCTGTCAGTATGATGAAATCAAGCTGATGAACCAGGTGTCACCCTGGATATATGGTCTTAAGTGGGATTCTACCCCATATGACTTGGGAAGTGGCAGTAGAAGCCAAGGAACCAGGAATGACCATTATGGGAGTCAAAGACAAATGAATCATAGTGATTTTCCTTTTCAAAGTAAACGTGGCAGAAACCAAGTGTCTTTGTGATTTCTGCCCTATCATTTACGAGGACACTAAATATTGCCTGGAAATATGGCCCAGAGTCTCCATAGGAGAAAATCGGTAGTGCTGCCAACCAATGGAAATCAAGCTGATTCATATATTATTTTTTTTTAGTCAAATACTATTTAATTTAGAGATGCTTTGGAACTCAGCTTGTCTCTCCTAACATTTATTCAAAGCAAAACTTTGAATTATTGTTACCTGAAACCAGCTGGTTTGAATGAGTGCTGCCCATGTATCATAAACATTTTAGCAGTTAATTGACTTCTGGAAATTTCCATTCAGACACAGAAATGTGAAACCTCTACAAAGATGAAGTAGCAAGGTGATCTGGTCCTAGGACCTCATGTACCTGAGAAATTTCAGGGGTCTGTCTCACTCTGTGGGGTACGTCGCCTATAAGGGTTATTCTGGTATAAAATATTGGAAGATAATTTCAGTTTAACTACCTGTTGTAGCCAGTGATGGGCAAGTATTTTCCCCAAATGATCACGTGGCAGTGGTGCCCTAAGATGCTTGGTTGGAAAGGGTTTTGAGGCTTTTCTGGATGAAACAAAGACAAATGTTGTGATTGGTTAACAATGTCGACCACAGATGTCAAAGAAGAAAGAGGTGCCTTTTTTGTCACCTATTTGACGCTCCTGTTCTAAACCATGGAGAGCAATGTTTAAAATACATTTTTAAAAATTTGGTTGTTCATCATGTGGCTCTATCCCTATGTTTATCCCTCCTGGTTTTATATTTCTAGGGTTTTATTTTTTTGTATTTATGTGTCATTTAAAAAATATATAGTATTTCTTGGCAATAACTGGTATTAAAGTGGCTACCCAGACCCTGACAATAAAGACTGAGGGGCCATCAGTTAATAATGAGACTTACAATTAATTTTTCTGGGATCTATTAGATTCTTTGTGGTGACTGATGATCATGCTTTTGGGATGTCTCTCACTATACTGTGCATCCTGTTTTTTCCAAGAGCTGCAGGAGGGATGTGCAGGGTGGAAATGCTCTAGTGACTTGTCCCTAAGTACTGGTTTTTGGACCAGTTGCTGCAAATCTCATTTCTCCAGAGATACCATCCCTGGAGAGTCTGACCCAGTAGATTGCAGAGGCATACTGAAATCAGAAGTTATGAGAGCATAAGAAAGTGCCCAGGAGATTCTGATGCATGGCTAGGTTTGGGAATAGTCTCTCTCCCAAATTTGTGCTTTCTCAAAGTTATATCCTATAATATTGTAATTTGAACTCATTTTCATTAGATGTGGAATGTGACTTGGAGTTAGTAAGGGCTTAGTTTTCATTGGAAGAAAATCAGAATTATGGAGTAATTATAAAGAGATGCCTTTTAAAAAAATATGAGTACTGATCGTATTAGCATAAACTAAGGTTAATAAAATGTTGCCAAGTACAGGCTATTTTAATGAATAAATTAGCACATGATTTATATACAAGTGAATACTGCTAAAGTGTTATTAAAAGTGCTTGAAAACAGTGTTTTCTTGGGCTGAACTGTCACCTTGAAATCTTATTTATATTCTGAATGCATTCATGACAGGAGCTATGGGGCTACATTTCAGCCCAGTTCGAGACACGATGTCCAACACTGAGGTTGGTGTGTGGCCTTTCTCTCCTTCCTTACTCTTTTGCCCTTGTGTGTCTGCTCTCACAGCATCTCTAGCCCCAGAGATGAGGCAGCACATATTCCTGCCTCCTACCTATTTGGAGAAGCATCTCAAGAGAAGGAATTACTGTAAGAGTTCTCTTCTTTTCTTTTTTTCAATTAACCAGTAAGTCGCATGCAGTATAGACAATAATACCCACTAAGGGAGATGGTGGTATGAAATTATGAAGAGATTGAACTTCGGGCACCAGAAGAGTGAGGTTTAAACCCAAGTGCCACCTGCTAATTTTGTGACCTGGGACAAGTCACTCAAGCTCTGTTTTTAATTCTCTTATCTTTAAAATGGAGATAACACCCTTCAAAAGACTATTATATGAAATATATGACACACTGTACTTGAAAAGCTTATTGCAGGAATTGGTACATACTAGGCATCTATTAATAGGTAGGTGTTTCTCTTCTTATGATCATTACTTTTGTTTTTAAAAACTTAGCATTTGGTGGGTAAATGGAGAGCTTGGATTCAAAGTCAGGTCATTGGATGTTTCCATTCAACACTCTTTTCAAGGGTCAGATTTCCAATTTTCTCTCTACCTTTAACTGCTTTTTCTCAGATTCATCTTCCTTTTTATACAAAAATATAGTTTGAGTACATAATAAGATAATGTCTTGAAAGTGGCACAGGCAGCATGAAGCATTGCACAAGCATTATTGGTACAAGAGATAATGTACATTAGACTGAATGATCTTAATCAGGAATGATGGAGTGATGAAGTACAGCATTCTTTATGCTGATGGGGGCACTCACTCTAGATTATGCATTTGTCGTGGAACTACAACAAACAAACTGCCATGAAGGGTAGGGAGTAGGGAACAGGGACAGCAGAAGACTGAGCTTGATAAAATGTAATTGTGTTCCTACTGCTGTGGAAATAGAAAATGATACCTAAAGAAGCCTTAGGTTGTAAATTGGCTAAGAATATGGTGTTCTCCCTGGGCGCTGTTTTAGGAGAGATGGTGACAAACTGGAGAGGGTTCACAGCAAGGTGATTGGGATAGCAGAGTCTGGACACAGTGATATGGGGAGTAGTTGAAGGTGGGGATATTTTGTTTAGAGAAAGGAAAACTTGCAGAGGGAAGACAGTGACAGAGTCCCTGTTTGTAAATATATGAAGGGCTGGTACGTGGGAAAAGTATTAAATGCTCTGTGTGACTCTGGGAGTTGGGGAGGGGAGATTTGGGACTTTTAGGCTAAAAGGAGCCAGATATCAGCGCCACATAACAACAGATCAAATTGATAGAAAGTGATAAACATTTTTAGTACTGCGTGTGTGTGTGTGTGTGTGTGTGTATGTGTGAAGGGGGGGGTGGAGCTTCCCTTTCCTGGATCTATGAAAGCACAGATGGCCATGATTCTTCAGGTGGACATCTACATCCAGTCCTTGGAGGGACCACTTAGTTCTATGATTCCTATCTTTACAAATCTGACCCATTGGATGATTACCTTTATTTTTAGGTTAGGCAAGTTCTGTAACAAATAGTGTGAGGTATTCTTGTTGTTGTTAGTATTACAGCATTTGGGTCACTGACTAATAAAACAAACTTTTTGTGTTGTTCATAGAAATACATGTATAGCTCACCTCTGACTTGTGTGAGACCATACTCTATTGATTTTTCTCTTTCTCAGCCTGCTTCCTAATTTTTCCTCCAGTTCATTGTTGCATATTGATGGTCCATGGGCTCTGCTCACCTCCTCATATGTATTTTATTTTGCGTGCCAAGTCTTTCTTAATGAGTCTGAATGGTTTTAGGTATGTCACACATTCTTCAGGTCCCTACATTCCCCACAAATCCCTGTCTCTTACCAAGCCTTGCTTCACATGTTTGTGATACGTGTCTGGACACTGAAGGCATTGGATTTTGAGATATGCCCATTTCTTGGCCTACTCCTCTTCTTTCTACCACTCAAATGTTACTATTCTACAGGATCGTCTGTCTAGTCCACTATGCTCGTCACTTCTCTACAACCTCTGTTTTACCTCCTTGGTTACTCATATAGCGCTATGGCCCTGGGAGTTTGTCATCTTCAGTGCATCCTGAAATCTCATTCTCTCTCCCCGCTTTCTTTTGTCAAACAGATTATTCTTGTTCCTACCTCAGGGCTTTGGCACATGTTGTTTTCTTTGCCTCTCGCCTCAAGTGACTTCATGTCTTCATCCAAATCTCAGCTCAAATGTCATCTCTTTGAAGAGTTCTTTTCATCGATCACCCCAACCCATCTAAGATAGATAATCTCTTATCCTCTCTGCAGAAATTCTATTATTATGTTTATTTTCTTCTTAATAGTTACCACATTTGAAATAATTTATTAGTTTAGTATTCAGTGCCTGTGTTCCCAGCTGCACTGTAAAGACTTGGGAACAGGGACCTAATCTGGCATAGAGGAGGTCTTCAAGAAATATTTGTTCAATGAATGAGTATATGAGGGAATGAGGTGTTGAACTAGAAGAATTTGACATTCCCTACTAGTCCTAAGGTAATTTAAAAGGAGAGCACATCTTGATTTTCAGGGGATCAACTTATTAACTCGTAGCTACATTGGGTAAGATTCTGACATGGTGATGTCAGCCATTTGAGGTTAATCTAATGGAAGACTTATGGAACAGGATCTATTGGTCAGAAATCAATGTGCACACAGCTTCATCTTGTTGCACATCAGAAAGATGGTGAGTAATTATAAACCTCATATGATTGCTAACCTAGTCTGGTGGATCAAAACAAGTCATGTGTCAAAGTTAACTTGTCTCACCCAAAAAGCTAGACTTGCGTGTCTGTAACAAATAAAGATGTGAGATTTGCCAAAAGCAGCCTTGAGAGTTCTCTTGCTTTCATTTTGACCTCGACTATCATCTCTTGAGATTATCATTATCTGTTCTTCCTCCAGCTTTCTGTCCTGGATTTGTCTTTGTGCATTTTGTTCACTAATGTATCTTCCCAGTTTCAGAGAATGAGTCTCCTTCCACTCCCTCAAAACTGAGTTCATATTCTACCCATTCCAAGACAAAATTTTTATTATAAAGCCCTTTCTGTGTTGTTTTCCATGCAGATCTTATTTGTCCAT